ATATATGCTTCATTAATGACTAGTAAGTGTCTAATCAGTTATATACTTGCTCACATGTTTATGAATCTGTGCGTTCTACAGGAAATGTTTACAAGTTTCAGACTAGTGATCGTTTCTCTGCGATCTTATGGCACAAACACCTGGAGGAGGCCAGTAAGAGAAGAAGACCTCAGGTAACAAATATCTTTTCCTTATTTTTTCATTCATTCATTCATTCATTTGTTTATTTTTTCTTATAAACAATTTATTTATTTCTTCTTTTTTTATGGTACATGCATTTGATATAGCAATGTTATTAGTGTTTGCATGGACTAATTTTACAAATATTTTGTATTAGGGACAATTTACGTACATTATCTGTCCCTGAAATAAAAACATAGGCCGTACTCACACTATGTACAGTTGCGTGAACCAGGCCAAAGCACGCTTGTCCCCCCTCGTCTCCCCCGACGGCCCGCTCTCACACCACAATCGGTCAATTACGTCATCGCTGATGTGCTATTCAGTGAGAAGCGCTCTCGCTCAGCAGCACAGTGGAGATTTCTGTAGTTATGTCGTGTCAGTCGTTTGATATGCGGTGACATGCAGTCATATATTTTGTCGAACAGTCTTTAGGGATGCGGTGACACGCAGTCGGATATTTTGCCGAACAGATCCGCCACTTTTGGCGCTCATAATCATAATGCTCTCATGCTGCAGGAATGAGGAGGTCTGCTGAAGGTGCAGCTGTCTCGTTCAGTGAGGGGTTTGCGTCTTTAATAAACTACGGCAGTTTGCGTTCACTGAACAGTAAGAATGATTAATAAAAGTCCCTTAAAAGTCACGTCTCGCTTTCAGTGAAAAGCCCAAGTGAACCGCGCTCAGGCCCACCTCTTCCAACCGGGCCAGGGCTGGCCAAGTGAACCGTGCTTGAGCCCGATTCAGCGCACTCACACTTCTCAAACGATCCGGGAAACGGGCCTGGGCACGGTACGGATGGCATAGTGTGAGTAGGCCCACAAATACAGTGAATAAAAAGTATTTCATCCCAATAATGTCTAAAATGGACTGATGGTTGATTTCTGTGAGTTGTTTTGTAAAGGAATATGTCATTCATTTGGTTCTCAGATTTTTTTCTCTTTATTAAAAACACTTTACGCTGTACAAACCCTGTTATTGTCCTTGTCCTCAGCCCACCTACAGCTGTAAACATTTTGTTATGCTTATGTTATGTTATGTTATTTAGAAATACTTCAGAAATTACAAGTTTAAGGTTGTTATCATTCACATCAGTTGATTAAAAACATGAAGTGACGCAGTGGCGCAGTAGGTAGTGCTGTCGCCTCACAGCAAGAAGTTCGCTGGGTTGCTGGTTCAAGCCTTGGCTAAGTTGGCGTTTCTGTGTGGAGTTTGCATGTTCTCGTGGGTTTCCTCCGGGTGCTCCGGTTTCCCCCACAGTCCAAACACATGCGGTACAGGTGAATTGGGTTGGCTAAATTGTCCGTAGTGTATGAGTGTGTGTGTGGATGAGTGTGTATGGATGTTTCCCAGAGGCATCCGCTGGATAAAAATATGCTGGATAAGTTGGCGGTTCATTCCGCTGTCGCGACCCCGGATTAATAAACGGACTAAGCCGACAAGAAAAAGAATGAATGAATGATTAAAAACATGAAATTATTAATAAATTCTACAAATAAACACTACAAATATTCATTCTTTCATTTTTCTTTGGCTTACTCCTTTTATTAATCAGAGCTCGCCACAGCGGAATGAACCGCCAACTTTTCCAGCATATGTTTTACACAAAGGATGCCCTTCCAGCCACAACCCATCACTGGGAAACATCCGTACACTCTCATTCACACAAACACACACACACTCATACACTATGGCCAATTTATCTTACCCAATTCACCTATAGCGCATGTGTTTGGACTGTGAGAGAAACTGGAGCACCTGGAGAAGGCCCACGTGAACATAGGGAGAACATGCAAACTCTGCATAGAAATGACAACTGATCCAGCCGGGGGTCACACCAGCTGTGAGCGATACCCACTGCACCACTACGCTGCCCTACTACAAATATATAATTCAAATAAATGTACAACTGTGTCCATGTTTCTGTCAGTCCATGCGTGCAATACATGTTTGAGGCTATGACTCAAACGTGACATCATACATCATTTGACAAAGAAGAAGCTGACAGTGGTCAAGGATGCGATTTTTATTTTTTTATTTTTCCCCGAACTTAAGTCAGACCCTGTTACGTGTTTCTGGTAGAATGTCCCATAATGATAATGTTATATATTACAGCAGAGCTATTTTTTTAAGCAATTTACACTGTAATAATTTAAGAAATCAAATAACTGTCCAACATCAGTGCTAAAACAGCACAACATAATAAATTACTTTTATCAAATATTTATACAGTTGAAATCCAATTTAACAGCCCAAATTAAAGTATCCAATATTTCACAAGTAATTCTTAACAGAGCAAGGAAATTTAGCTGGAAATATATAT